TTGCTCGTGTCTTACAGAATTTTTGTGTTTTCTTTAATTTTCTCATTAAAAAAGGTTATTCCTCCAACAGATTAGTATTTAGAGATTTATCTTCAAGTTCACTAGTGGCTGTATCATCTTGCATTCCTACCAACAATGAATAAGGTTCTGTTGTCCCCATAGCCTCATGAGCATTTTTCCTATATTTGTTCATTTATTTGTTTTGTTTTTTAATCGCCATCCTAGTAGTTGATTTCCATATTTCTGATAACTAATCACCCTGTGCTCCTTTTCATGTGTTGGACGGCCATTTGAATGTTCACTTTCGTGAGACTCTTTTCCATCACCCATTTTATGATTGGGTTGTTTGTTTTTCTGTTGGAGTTTTATGTGTTGTTTGATTGTTAGAATCTTATTGGTTCATTTTAATAGTGTCTGGTAATTCTACTTTCTAAAATTCTCTGTAAAAATGGTGGAAGTTTGGTTATGTGTTTTGTAATTTTTTATTTGAAGTTCATCTTGAGAAGAGTTTTAGATCTGTGCAATTCTTGGGGTTTGAGTGAATCTCCCCAGAGATCACTCCCAGCCGAGGACCATTTCTAGCAAAATTCTCTCAGTGTGGGGGTTATTGGGCACACACATAATAGACTCAAACCCTCACGAGAACAGGCCTACTTCATGAACTCTCAGAAGCACTTTCTAATTTTGGCCCCAGACTCAGAGCCAGTTCTAGCGCAGATAAGCATCCTCATGATTTCCAGGTGCTCATAAGCAGACGCTTTTAGAATCTATTCTTCCATTGAGAATATAGTTCCTCAGGGATCCTGTCTTCACCTGTGACAGGTGTGTGTTGGTCTGAGTTCCAGCTCCTTATCTGAGCAGGCCTGAGGCCTCATTTCTTGCCTTCTGTTCCTACATGAGGATCGCTGGTGTCATCAGCGATTTGAACCCGTCAGCTGTTCCAGGGGAGGAAAACGAGGCTTTCTACACCTGTAAAGAGTTACAGTCTGGGAAACCCACAGGGGTGGTTCAACCCTGCCCTACAGGGTTGCTGTGAGTGGGAACTGATTGAACGGCCGTGGTTTGGAGTCCCTGCAGAATTGCTTGATGGAAGCGCCTTGGCCACCAAGCGTGGCGCACACCCACCATTGGTCGTTGCCATCTTCCACCCATGCTGACCATTCCGGCTTTCACTTAAATTTGCCTTGTCTGCCTTTCGCAGTTTAGGTTTTCAGAATTGACTCCGTTACTTTCTCGGTTATTCTAATAGCATTTCTCAATTTTCAAAGATGGGAGAACCTTTGCATTAACGTGTGTACCTTGAAAGCAAACATGCTTATACATATACACACACATTTATCTAACCTGTCACTTAAAAAAATTTTTTTTTAAACTTGTGTAAGTAGTTAATTTAGTGTAAATATCCAAAGTATGAAACCGCTTAGAGTAAGGTCTTTCTCCCATTCTTGTCTTCCTTCTGCTGAATTCTCACTGCTCCGAGCAGGTCATCCTCGTCTGTCAGTTCTTGTTTTTTCCTCCAGAGGTATTTGTATACACATGTGGCAATAAATCATATTTTTTATCCTGATGGTAGCCTACTCTATAAATAGTGCTCTGCCTATTGCCCCTTACACAGGAATGTTTACCATGTAGGATGGACGTGTTTTCATGGCGATCCGTAGTCAGCATCCTCCTTCTCTGTTCTGTGGTCTGGTTTGCTCAGTTAGGTGATGAGTATGTAATTCGGGGCTGATTTCATCCTCTTTTCTTTTCTTTAAAAAAAAATATCTTTCTCAGTTTTTTTTCTCCACTGACATTCTTTTCTCCCACTTCCCCAGGATCAGCTTGCCGCAGACATGTACAACTTTATGGCCAAAGAAGGAGAGTATGGCAAATTCTTTGTTACGGTAAGCCCCTGTCTTTGGCAATACGTGAGAGCGTTGTAAAAACAAATCGTAGCTTTTTTGCAAAAGCAAAAAAAAAAAAAATCATTTTTGGTTTTGCTCAGTCATTGTTACGTGTGTCCATCCGATGCTAACGTGACTTTTGTTTTTGAATGTGGGTCTGTTCTCAGTTATTAGAAGCCCAAGCAGATTACCATAGAAAAGCATTAGCTGTCTTAGAAAAGGCGCTCCCTGAAATGCGAGCCCATCAAGGTAATGTAACCTGTGTGCTGGCTGATGCCTCCTTCTCGCCTCTGCCCCTTCTGCCTGTTCTTCTTCACCCTGACTCCTTTGCATGCACTGCCTCGGAGGAAGCCTCGCTATCTACGAGGATTCTGTTTCCCAGCGTAATTCCATCTTTCCCCGCTGTGTTCTCTAATTTCTTCCCAACCGAAATTAACACACTAATGGAGCATTTGGAGGTCTTCTGCAACTTTCCGTTGAAGAGCGAGCCTGCCGCTTTTAGGAGCGCCTCTCTGTCTTTTCTGCCTTTGAAGGAGGCTTGAAGATATTTTTGTTTCTTACCAGCTTCTAGCATCTACGTAGCCTTTCCCACATCAGCTCTTGGTTCCGTAGGGCTTGTTGGACCACAAATTCCAGAGTGTGGACTTTCCAGAAGAGGGCTTTGGAGCACATCACCTCATGCCACAATGCGATTATATAAGATCGCGACCCCTTCTTTCAGACACTTCTCTGCCCTTCCACGAGACTCTTGTTCTCAGGAGCACTGATGCTGTGCTGTCCGCGTCAAGCACATTGTTGCACAAATGGAGGCTGTGCTGAGCTTTCCCTTGGCGTT